TCTGTTTAATATACTGACAGTAAACTCCTCTTCCTAGCCAAGGTAGTTCAATGTATGCAGAAAAGGTAGTAGTAATTTAGTAAATAGTTTTCCTCTATTTAAAACTTCATGTGTTCTGGCTTACTGACTTTCAGATTAGTGCAGGACTGGATAGCAAGTGGAAAATCCACTATCTAAAAGAAGCATAGTCACTTAGTAGGCAACTGAAATTAGAATCTTTATTGTCGGCATTTCTATAATATAAGTAATGACTGTATATTCCTTGAAATTTGGACTCCAGTGCTTTATTCTTTTCATTGTGTCTACAGTATGAGATCAGAACATAAAAATAGCTTTGTGTCACCTGTTTCTGAGAAGTCCATTCAAAAATAGAATATATCAGAGACAGTACGTAAAACTAATGTAATCATGATAGCAAGTTACTTACATATAGACAGATCTCAACAAATTATGTCCAACAAAAAATGGAATAAACTGTTAAACAGGGTGCTCCACAGAACAGTCTATGTCTCAATTCCGTAATTGTCCCACCAAGAACACACACATGGTTACAAAAGCTTACATGAATTGAACCCTGCATTAATCAGAAAAAAAAAATTACTCTTGTTTTAGTTTTCATGTGGCAACTTTTGCAAGAGTTGCATATATTAGCCTCTAATTAAGCACCTCTTGGCACTACCTCGGTGCTTTTTCGATAAGTGGCATTTATGTTAATTCTATCCTTATTAAGCAGATGTCTTTGCCATTCGCTGTCATTAGGTTGTCTGGGTAGATACCCCAATAAAACAGTATGTAAATTAAATTTATCCTGAGTAAAAGCAGTTTATGGTAATCGTAACGCCTTCCAATGACTTTTTCACAGTAGGAAATAGCATCTTCAGAGAATAAATCTGAGCTTTAGCATTACAGCTGGTGCAATAGTTCAGGAAAATCATCCTTCAGAAGCCCCACTAAGACAGGGATGCTGTTTGCAAAATGGGGCTATGGTAGTTGGAGGCTGTCATGTGGGAGACTCTGTGATAGTGAAAGGCAGGAACAGAAGAGAATGATATGGGCATAGAATTAGTTTGTTTAAAGCAAGAAGTTCTGGACAGTGCTAAGCATGCAGTTCCTCTGCCCCACACTATCATCACTGTATATCAGAACAGCATCATCCTCACAGAGACCATTAAATGAACATTCACCTATATAGTGATTCATCATATCAAGGATTTAAAGAATATGGATTACTGTGGAACATTGTGGTAAAAGCTAATAAACTTATAGAGAACTTACTAGAAAGAACTAAAAGAGAATTACAGATCCACTACAATGTGGACAAATGTATTAGCAGTCCCCCAAAGTGTCTGTATAATTATAAATACAGTTATTCTTTTTTGGGTACTATATTACAGGCAGCAGTACAAAGAAATCAAAAGACAAATTAACAAAGAGATTTGGAACAATAAACACCAGTCTCAATCTACTTAACAGGAAGCTACAGTAAATTGCATTCAGTCACCTATAACAAAATGCATCACAGGTCTAGGATGATAAATTAACATCATGGCATAAAATCTGAAAAGAGTATTCCTAGAATTACTAATTGACACTGTTTACTGAAATCTCTAAATTACAAAAATGCCAAATAAAAACCCCACTGCAGTCTTGAAAAATGGGAATCCTGCTTACTGCAAAACAAAACCTAAGATTTAGACAAGTTTGCAGGTGGAAAAATCAAACACTAAAGACAACAAATCGTAACATTTTATGTCTAAGCAATCTGTAAGTATTATTCCAGATTTCCAGTTTTGACACATGCTTTTCTGAACACGGGAAAATAAGCTGAATGAAAATACCTTCTGCCTCAGTGGCAAATACCTAACTATTCTATGATTCTATTCTATTAAATCTGTCCATAAAAGAATTTACATGAAAACCTCTTACGTATGGCCAATATTCCTGTAATTTATATTAAAAATTGTCAAAAAAATTATTTTTTAAATTCCTATTAAAATAAATTTCCAAAACAGTAACTTATATAATTTTTCTAGTTCATGGAATTGCTACTGCAGAGATAAGTGTATTAAAAAAAAATACAGAAATATGCTACAATTTAATAAAATTAATAGAGGTAACAAAAATGCAAATCAAACTCATATTGGTCCCTAGCTTGCAAGAATAAGAATAAGAAACAGTAAATCCTGAAATGTTTTAGCTGTTACTGGTAACTACAGAAAGATGTGGCAGGAATAAAAAAAACCCCAACAAGTTAGATGAGTTCTTCCTTGAAGATGCCCAATGTAGTTGAAAACCCAGTACATTTTGAGTTTTCTGTTTTGTTCTAATACTGTCGAAGTTAGAACATCATGAAAGTGATTCTTGGTGTTGACTACTGAAAGCCACACAATGCTGTGGGAATATGATCCCGAGGCTGTTCTTATGTATGCCAGGTACCAGCTGGTTGCGGAACTAGAGGAGACAGACATGATCAGGCTGACCTGACCAAATGCTCAGCTGCATACTTTTTATTTCTCCTCTCCCTCCCCTATCCTTCATTTCTCTTCTGCATGGCCAGATTGTCCATACCAATTTCAGACATAATAGTCTGGTTTAAACCAAAATATCATAATTAATACTGGGTTGCAATTGTAACTGATAGCCAACTCTGAAAAAGGTTACAAAATGAATAGCAGTTTGAAGCAATAGTCCTTCCCATACAAAATACTTTATTCATTTCAACCACCTGCTGCCTCCTGATACCCTTGGCACATAAGTGTCTCATTCCTCTCAGCATACCTATGTGTTGGCCAAACTCTCTATCCTACCTGTGTTACAATTGCCCACCTGCACTGTAACCCAGCCCAGTCACAGAGCTTATCTTACTGGCACTGTGCCACCCTGTTATTTCAGAGTAGCACATACAGCCTGAAAGTATCCAGCAGACTAGTGAGAAAGGGTACAAGGAAATCTCATAGGGCAGAAAGACAGCTACTTTCCTCACTCCAGAAATCTTTCTGTTGCTATTATTACCCCACAAAAATACTTTTCATAATAGCCAAGTAAAATATGCTTCTAACTGTAAAAGCAATTAGAGAATAATTCCAGCTAGATTCACACCAATTATCTCCTGTAAACATAGTGAATAAAAGTCAACAAACCCCACAGTATTGGTTAAGATCCCTTATACCACCTTTAAATGTAGTCATGCTTAGGTTTCCCAGTGTGTTGACTGTACCTCCTGGCCTATCTGCTAAAATTATGCACTGTATTCAAGATTACCTTTTAAGTTCAATTCCATATAAGCAGTAGCAGCAGTGCTCTTTTCAGGGAGGGGAGGAGGAGAGAGGAAAGACTGATGAGACGTACATAACTGATGACTGGTGATACCACAGGTACTTTTTCTGAAAAATGGGTTTACAATATTCATGGTAATAAAACATCTTCAGCCTCTATGGTCTAATCAGTCATTTGTTTCAATGCTGACATATCATGCAAAAATTCTTTGGCTAATCTCAAGCGAAAGCTACCATAACTCACAGAAGGAGACAGACTGCTATAAAATTGTGACTTTCCACAAGACATAACCCATTGTACATGTACTGGAAGGAATGTTCTTGCAAAGAATGGCTACAGGTCAAGAAATAAAATACAGCACATATTTAAAATAAAAGCTATCAGCACCTATGAGAAAAGCAGAAATTTATTAAAGATGGGTGAAGCACAATTGTCCTTGATTGCTAATGATGCACTCAATTTAAAAGTATGTTTCCAGTGCTTATTCACTGTTAGTTTCAAAAACATTCAAGGTGAATATATTAATTGATTACATGTTACTGTGAAAATGGCTTCTACAATTCACTGTAACAGTTCTATTTTTAAACAGTCACTGGAAAATATTGTCCAATGTTAGATAATTCAGAAGTCAAATTTTGCTGCTTCTTACAAACCATGCATAATATCTAAAAGCATTTAGGAGTTACTTCAGTAAAATCATATACAAGGGTAGCACTAAATTAGTATACAGTAATAAAGCTGTCTGGAAACAATAAAAAAGAAGTAGGCTAATGAAGGCAGTACATTTTGAAAACCTCTGCCATTTAAGCAATAAAGGGCTCTGGCAAATAAGTTCTACAAAATCTTTCTGGAGAGATTTATGCAGTCACCTGACCAACCACCTACTCACTCTTTTTTGATATCATACCTTATTTACAGGGACAGCAGATGTGGATATGCAGTGAACCTTCCTTGCTATTCCCTTGGGGAGGGGGTGGGGGCAAGTAAATTTTTGCTACTCCAGCTGTTTCAGTTATTTACTTAATATAAGAGTAAGATCTTACAACTGTTGTGTCCAGCTCCACACTGAATTGTGTATTGCATGGAAGGAGAGAGAAGCACCCCAGAAACACCAGCTTTAAAACATTAAAGTCTTGCTTAGCAATAATTTACTCATTTTACCTCAAAGAGCTGAGGCATTATGAGATACTAACAAAATTGTGTAAACTATCTGGGAACACTGACCCACTATTCCGATAAGCTAAATTCAGTCAATAGGTCACAGTAAAATTGAAAATCAAATTTCTGAAATACAAATGTACATGTACATGTGTTCTCCAAACAATCTTTTTTTTTTTTTTTGTAGTCTTACATACCAGAAAATGAAATTAATAAAACTCCCTTTGTGACCTTTTCTACGTACAAAGCATTTAAACGAGCAACTGGTGTCTTTTTTTGTGATCCTTACAACCACCTCCACCCCTCTCTTGTGGAAGAAACAACTTCCAAGAAATGGCAAAAGCATACTTCCAAGCATCACTGTCTGTTGAATGATAAACCAAGCAGCTCACATAAATCTGTAACCTGCAGTGCTACAGAACCTTAAGGCATTCTGGAGAACATCTTCTCGGAAATAGCACCCCCTTCTAATCTGCTGCCTCTTCATACGCTCTCCTTTCCCCAAAACCCATACCCGTTTCCTATCAATAGCTTTTAACAGGCATCCACTTGATGTCTTCTAACAGGAAGCAGAAAAGGAAAGAAGCTCACATTCACTAACATCAAAGAGCCAGACTGGGAGCCATTCCACCAGTTCTCCAAAAGAGTCTAGTGTGAAAAGAGGGAGAGCAATCTTTGAAAAGATGTCATCAGAAAATGGCCGCAGCAACAGCTCTGAAGGTTAGTTAGTATTACCATGTCGATCTGATGTCTTAGTTTAAGGCAATGGTCTCTAAACCTTTCTGATGCTGTACCCCTATCATTAAAACATTTTTGAGAGTATATGTATTTATTTACAAACTCTACTAATACATTATAGCAACATACACATAAATAGATATTAAAGATATTAAATAGGGATGATGGATGGAAAAAAATCCTTTCAAAAATGTTTATTTACAAAAAATTGTTCTTCCCGAACCCCAGTAGATTGTCTTGCACAGCACCTGGGGTGCATACATCCTACTTTGGAGACCACTGCTTGGCAGTATAAAAGAGTGTCTATATCTGTGTTTTAGTTTGTTTTAGCAGAGGAAGAACATGGATGATACAGATTTCTGACAGAAAATCACTTATCAACATCTGAGCATCTAGGACTTGACCTTACGTAAAACAATGGATTGCCCAAATAAATAGCATAAAGAGACTTGTCCACTCTGCCAATAAAATTAATAAGCCATCTATACAGTATCAACCACTCTGACTTCACTCTTTTTTGAAATGGAACGTTTAGCCTGCATGTTTCGCAATTCCAGACTACAGCAGATCAAAGGAAAGCGAAAAGGAAATTTCAGTGCTCAAGACCCTTTCTAGCTAATGCTCCTAAATTTTTATGTTCATTGTTCATATTAAATACATGATCTTTTATAGGTTTAACTTTCAGCCATTGGTTATCTTTTTCTTTTTTTTTTTCCTTGTTTTTTTTTTTTCCTACCAAAGTAAAGAGATTCTTCTTGGAAGGATTATTATATATTATGATCATATCAGTCCACAACCTTCTCTTCCATCACCTAGATACTGCTGTCGTTCTTCATGTGACAGTATTCTTTTGTGGCACCTCTCTACATATTCTCAAGTCTTTCAGATATCTTTTTTATAATATGGGTGTAATGTCCTTTTTCTTTTGTTTCTCCTTTCAGACTCTCCTTTCAAGGCCTTTCTTTTTCCTCTCTAATAAGAGAACTGAATCCTCCATTCCATACCCACTTTGCTTCTGAGTCTAAATTGGGCACAGCATGTTCCAGAAGCATGTTTTGGTCCACCAGGAATAACAAAGAATATGAACTATGTAAAAATGCACAGTCAACAATTCATGCCTCTTACAAATGAAGCTTTTTCTAAAAATGTGACAGACCCATAGGGGATAATGTTTTTCTATGCTCCTGTGAGAGCCATAATACCCCATTTTGCATTCAGAAATTCTTATGAGAAGTAAATTCCCTATAGACTCATTTGAGTGTTTGAAAGCACTGGTGAAAACTCTTAAACTTCTAATAGCTGAACTTAGGCACTGAAATCTGCAACTCTGCACTTGAATAAATATTCAGGTCCTGAAAACTATAAGATAATGCTGATCCATAGGTTATTTCTCCCGTCACCATGAGATCCCAGTTTTCTATAACCGATGATAATATATGTCAACTTGCTTCAATTTTTCAGCAAGAACAATACCCTCAAGCCACTAAAGTGCTATGGAACTTTTTTGCTAAATGTTTCAGTTATGCCAAAAATCTCATTTTCTTAGAAGAGGTATCAAGCAACAGCGAGCTCTATGACTGAGTACCAAGAACTTGTATTTTCTTCCCTGAAAAACAGTAAGGCAATGCTCATACTGCTGTTCAACCTATCCTGAAAACCTATAGAAACTAGGACAAATCCATAAGGAATAGCTAGTGTAGTCATATCGTTGGAGAAATATGGCAGAAAGCCAGGATTTGCCAGTCCTATTACACACAGAAGATTTGTCAAGCTCTATTTACTTTACAGAATTGTTGGAACTTACCATTAATAAAAGAAGTAAATTCTCTGAAGCAGATACAAATCCCACATGTCAAAAGCAAACAGGTTTTTGTTGGCATACCTCACATTGGTAAACATAAGGCTCTTCTTACAGACTATTTCATCAAAACCACACATTTATCTCTGAACGAATCAGATGTTACACCTTTAAGGGCTCTTGAATGAGCAAAAACATAGAGTAAAAGGAGCAAAATGAATGAGTAAAAGTTTAGATCATTTAATCTCTCATACCACCACAAAGACTTTCACATTATGTTATAAAACAACCAGCTTCTGAAGAGAGGGCATTTCCAGTTTTAAAGCTAACAAGAGAATGGTTTCTATTACCTTCACTCCCCAGGTGGCTAATAATATGTATCTATTAAAATGTTTTTTAAAACAGTCCATTAAATTCATTGGCCCCAAATCAGCAAGGAATTAAATCACATCTCTAGCTTTAAGCATGAGTATTCCTATTGCACTTAATGAGACTATTCACATGCTTATGATGAGGTAGAACCCAATAATCCGTTCTTGAATCAGAATACCAGAAAGTCTTTAAAATCCTAAACATTCCTGAGAATTAATGCAACCTTGAACACCTAGACTGCTAAACAGTTTTACAGTGAACAGGCAGAAAGACCACATATCCCTTGGAATCCTTCCCTGTTTGGTGGGGTACTCCCCTGGCACTCTGTTCTGTGCCAGGTGAACAGATAGCTTTTTCGAAAGGCTCTTCTGTGGCTGCATTTCATAATGTTGAAGGGGAAGAGCAGGTACTTCAAAAGAAAAAGGGGATTTGTTTATCTATATCTTTTGTGTTCTCAGCTACTGCCTTAGTAGAATAATAAAATACTCAAAAGTGAAACAAATTAGGTAAGAAGAAACGTGATTGACCAGGCACATGCTTTTGCGATGCATATAACAGTATGTATTACAGTTAGGCTTCCAGAAGAAGAAGATGACCCTTGAAAATGCTATACAAACCTCAGGCTCTAAAACCAGCCACCAAGTTCCACACTATACCCATGGGGATAAATGAAAATCAGTCATGGCTCTCTACTTGCCCCAGGAAGGGATTCAGTGGAGCTGGTCTCCACTGAGTGGTGTATTTCAGGAGACTGGGAAATTTGTCTTAAAAAAATCAGCAAACAAACAAACAAAAAATTCCTAGAGAGGATTTTGAAGATTTTTTTTCTTTCTCTAGAGAAGACCATTCTGTAAATGGTGTGGGTTTGTACTGAATGGTAGAAAAGGTAAATGTACTCTAGTATGTCCTCAGTGGTTTATACACACATTATGAGATAACTGACACTATACAAAGAGAAGCTACTAATTTCCTAGCTAAATTATGGCAAGTGAGTTCTTTTGCTTAATTTAATAAGTCTGGGAATCATCAGAAAGATGAAAAATAATAAATCAATTGTAAAAAGTAAATATAAATATGTCATTTAAAAAAAAACCCAAAAAACCGCCAAACCCAAAAAAAACAGTCATGCTCTGCAACAAAGTGACAGGGCACACTCAGGAAGACAAGGTGTCAGAAGTGCCAGAATATATAAGAATGCAAATAAACTGCCAATGGCTAGCAGAAAGCACACATCTGGAGTCTCCTCTCTGACTTTCTTTCCTGCGTGGAAATGGATTTTAAGGTTTTAGTTTCAGTACCTACTGGCTTGAATTAAATACATAGAACAGGAGGACATATCTACACTCTAAATGCTCCCTTGCCTCCTTTTCTAAGTCAGTTATGTCGTCAACTTTGAGAAATTCCAATATATGTATCATGCTTGTGGGGGGCAGGGCAGGGTAGGTTTTGGTGAGTTTTTTTAAGATAATTTCATTCAGCTACAGCCTGTTTCTGTAATTTCAGAAAACACAATTGCTAAAAAAAAACACAAAAAAAACCAACACAAAACAAACCAAAAAAAGCAAAGCAATGCATGTTGCAAAAGATTTAATCTGGCCTATTATGTAAGGATAAGGAGAAATGTAGATGAATTTAGAGAAGATCAGGGTGCTATGATATCTGCAGCACAAGCACAAGGATTAAAAAATTAGATTCTAGGGGCTTTACTAAAAATATATCTTCTTGAAGTCTTAAAATTCCCTCCCCTCCCAAAAAGGGAGTGTCCTGGTCAAAGAAATCCAGTGTCATTCAATCCAATTTTGCACACACTGCAGATGAACTTCCAGCCTGTGGGATTATATGAAATCTCTTCTGCCTCTTATCACAAACAAGAAAGATGCTTACAACATACTTTTCTTCTCTGAAACAAGAAGGAAAGATATCTTTATGCTAAATTTCAGGCAATTTTATGGGTATATGGAATTCTTTGAATACAGTCATATGAATGTAGAAAGAAGCACAAAAAACCTCCCAGTGCTAGTAACTCAGTGCTGCTCTTTCAGGAATACTCTGAAGTGTTTTCTCCACATTCACTGTGGCTGAATTGCAGATGCTAATAGATAATTCAACAGCCTTCCTAACTAGAAATAGGGTTAAAACGTAGGTAGTAATTTAGATAATTTTCAATAAGGTTTTAGTAGTACTAAACCAACTAAAACATATTCTAATGCAGGATCAGCAAACAATTGAAATCTGTGGATTGTCTGTTAAGCAAATGAATACTAAACTGTATAAAGCTAATTAGAACATAATATATTCAATTATAATAGGTTATTTCTAGAACTTACAATGACTTTTTACAGTATAAAATAACGCAAATGTAACACTATGCTTTTTGTTATTTCCTCAAGGAATTTGCCTCAATTTCAAAATCTTCACTATATTTTTCTGTACTCAGTAGGTTCTAAATTGAAAGTAAGATAGAGTTGCCAAAAACTGTATAATACTGCTCCTTTCTACTACTGCTTTTCTTTCAAGATTTAGAAAAAAATGTACCAGTTTCCTTAGAAAATATAATATCTGTTTGTACTTACAGTGGGTTCTCACAAACGTGTAAGAAGACTTCTTAAAGAAAGCACTTCCAGGGCTGATAACACACTGCTGGATGTCCAGGAAACTGTCTCCTTGAAACAAAGAATGGCTATGTACAAGGCTGCTGTGTCTGAGATAGAGGGTAGCAACTCCTTTGCTCATGTAAGATTTCATCATTCCTTATCTTAAGTGTGTTTGCTTCGCATAGTGACATATCCTACATTCTTTATTTATACAAGCTGACTGACTGGAATCAAAATTTGAAACCTAAATTACCAAACAAATCAACTCAGCAAATGTATTGATGCATCAGTTGCTGTCTCCACTGAATGAGATTTTTCAGGCTACACACCTTTGGTCATTTGGACAATCCCCTTTAATTCCTTGGAATGATTGCTCTTTTTATTCCACTGTTGCATGAACTGCATTGATTAGGACCATAGGCTTGAGACAGATTACCAACACAGTTATTCTTTCAGCTTATAACAGCAAAGCCCAGCAGTTTCTGCATTACTAAAAATATTACCAAACAATAAAATCATATTCAAAACCACATTAACTTTAGACCTCTTGCTGTTCAAACTAAAGAATTCAAAATTGCTACAGTTTGAAATAGCAGTTGTATGAGACAAGGTGTATGAGAAAGTATTGTTTTATAATAACTTATTACAAAACAGGCATTATATGAAAAAATATTAAAAAACTTTTAATTGTGTTTTAGTCATCTCTCTATATATCTATCAATAGGAATTAATTTAATATTAATATCAAGTAGAACATACAGTATCTGGCTAACAGAATTTACAATCTATTAAAATAGAGCAAGACCACTGCACATTTAATTATCATTCAGGAATGTCTGAAAAGGAGGTCTTCAGATCTCAGCCAGGAAAATCTGCCTCAGTTTTGCAGAAATACTAAAGTGTAAAGGGGCAAAAAGTATATTTTTACCATATCTTAAAATCCTACCTAGAAGTTATGGCCCAATCCCCTTTTATCAGAAAATGGAGGCACTATACTGACTTGCTACAATTTTAGAATGACAATGGTCTTTGTTTATGCTAAATTTTCAGCACATGTAAAAAACTACTTTTTCTTACTGTAAACTAGTCCAGAGTTATTTCTGTAAATCAGAACACATACCTGACAAAAGAAGAACTACAACTCAGCTCTCAACAGCTAGCATCTCTATCCATATGCAAGAATTGCTGAAGGATTCCCAGTTTGGTTCCTGGGAGAAGTGGTCTGCAGCAGCTGAAGGGACCTTCTGGGACAGCCCAGAGCCACATAGTGAAAACAGCCAGCAGCCACAATCAATCAGAGTCCAGGTGTTTTCCAACCACTCAATTCCTGCCTGCTGACTTCCTTATTTCCTAATTGCCTGCATGTATTTGGAGTAGATTCCTGCAGTTCACCTGGCTAAGAAAACAAAAGAACTGTGTGAAGCCTGAGCCAACCTAACTGTGGAACACAGGAACTACTTCATTTGCAGTCTAGAACTCCTCCCAGTTTCTTGCTGAAATGGATGGTTGCTTGAGAAAGGAACTGTATATCTGGTCCATCAAAGGGAATTACTAAATTTCCTTAAAGGACTCATAACCACATCTACCCCCTCTAAAGTTCTCCAAAGGGCTGGCAAGGTGTGCCTGAAATGTTCATTCACTAAAATAATTACTTTTCACATTCACATATCCATGCACATATGGAACTGTGCCATTTTCATCATAGGAGAAAAAAAAAAAAATGTTTTTTATAATCTGCTTACTTACTCATCAGGGGTAAGCACTAAACCTAAGTTTATTTAGTAACCTTACTTACAAGACTATTTCTAATTATTGGGTGGTTTATTTCCTGCATACTGATTCATAAACCCAAATGCTGAAAGCTTCATTCCAGTACCATCTAAGAGGTAACACATAAGGGGCAGAACTAGAACAGGGAGCCTGAGGATAAGAGCACTCCTGTGACCTTCACCACTGTTAGCGAATAAAGATCATCTTACAAAGGCCTGCTTGAAGCTCTCTGCATGTTTTTCAACAATATCTATAGAAAAAGTGCAGAGAGGACCAGATGGGAACACTGAATGCAACAACACTCAGAATAGACAAGTAGAAGAAGGAACAGCAGAGAAGGATTGTTCTGGAAAGTGATTGCTACTGACAATCAAGTAGACAGGACCTATTCCTTTTGGTGTGAAAGTTTAAGGCCAAATGTACATATTTTTACAAATATACATTGGCCTTTAGTTCTCCAGATCACAATGTATGGTACCCGTGCAATGGTCCATGAACTTGCCAGAAACAGTATTTATGATTGTCTGAGTCATTCCTGCAAAGACAGAGTATTACATCGCTGAAAATACATGTCTGACCCCTAAAACTTCAGAGGAAACCACTCAGTCCTCAGACACTAGTTTAGGCAAGACGAATATGCAGTTATACCAGCAGGATCTATTTGACACAAGAGCATTTAGCAGCTAATAGATCACAAATATTATGCAAATATAAAATTAAATAGATCACTAAATTCCAGAAGAACTTCATAATTTGCAGATCCTAATTTTTGGTCGACAAGTGAAAGTCAACTATTCAATAGTTAATGTTTATTGTATGTATGTTTTGCATTTTGATGAGACACCTGAAAAATAACTCTTATTACTGTATCTATTCTGAATGCTAATGTTAACTCATCTGTCAACCCTACTTAACAGTAGGGTTAACAGATTTATGTCAGTGGAAGCAAGAGGTTAGAGACATAAGCAAGTGTTTCCAAATTTTCCACATAAAATTTATTAGCATTATGTTGCATACTGCTTTTAACTACTAAAAAAAAATCAGTTAATAGGAGTACATTCTTTGTGCAAATGGAAAACTTATTTTATCACTCTAGACTTCAGAGAAAACCAAGTTCTGTACTGTGCCTGGTGGCCTGGCAGCAGTGAGGAAACAATTTGAGAAAGTGCGGATGACCTCTTCACGAAAGACCTTTGCTCTGTACCAGCACAAATCTGTACAGGTAACTAGTAGTTTTAATACTAACAAATGAGGTATGCCCTGCTAGGTAGCTGGAGGAAAAAAATATGATTCTTTGCTTTGCTGAAGAGCTCTCATTATGACTAAGACAACATTATCCTAATGTTCATACTCATAGAATTTTGTCTTTGAGATATACTACAGGAATCACGTATTTTTTGATATGGATGAACAGACAATATAGGCAATACTAGATTTACAGCAAATAGATGAATAAAGCAGATTACTACCATACCAGTATTTTATACTGAACCTTCTCTCCAAGACTGTAATTCATTACCAAGTATCATGGTGATATTCTGCATTTATTGCACTTGATGTGATGTTAAGCCATTCTCTTTCAAAAGGAGTTTCCTGCTTCCACAGGATTAAATCTAATAAGCTCCCCTAAAAAGATCAAAAATTGCTCAGAACCACCCAGATGCTACATAGAAGTAGAACAAAGCAGCAGCTAACTGTTATTTTAGATAAAAGGTCTTTGCATTTTATTACTTCATTAGCATGTGCCATGAAAAATTGTTGTAGGAGATAATGATTTTGGACTATGTGAAATCCCCTGTAATAAAACACATTACACAATCTGTCCTGTGCACTCTGAAAAACAGTAATGGCACAGTAAAGTGCTTTACCATTCTGCACTTCTTGGAGGGATTTTTAAGCAATATTGCTCTTCAACTTCATAGAACAAAACACATGAACATTCTGCCATAGGTTCATTTTCATGTTAAATGAGTACCACCATATCTGCCCATTATCTCTCATTACTTGTACATTAATACCAGTATCAACAATTTGCACAGACAAGAAAAACTGCAGTTTGTAAGGCAGAAGACAGCTTGCTGCAGATGTATTAAAGCATTTTTAACTAAACAAAAATGCCCTGCACTTGGACATAATCATACTGGAGGATACTGCTTGGTAATAGGAAGTGTCATGCACATACTTCTCTGATGACGGGGTCCAACCTAGCTGGCATTTACCTGGATGAAGAAATGTAGAACCATGTATAGAAATTATGTGACTTTTACTCAGAATCAAATAATTTCATTTACATCATGATGTGAAGGTGCATTTTCCCTTTCCTAACAGTGCTGTCTAGTTCTCCACCAACCCATTATCTTCAGCCAAGATGTGACCTCTAAGTATACTTATCCATGTGTTTGTCCTTGGTGGCTGTTTGAGCAGGCGAATCATCAGCAGAGAGTCACATTCACAGGAAATAAAATAACTCAGATTATATGGAACAATCTTTAAATTTAGGTTAAGTAACTTACTGCAAGACCATAAAATCTCGTTTCTATCTAACATAACTGCACTCTCATGGAAAATGGGATTATACATTTAGGTAGTTGACAGATTATTCAAGGTCATTCAATCAATCCCAGGGCAAGAGAGAGAAATCATGTAGTTTGAAGACAGGTCTCCAGATCTGGATAAATTCAAACTATTAACCCAAGCTAAAATAAGGAAGCAATTCATTGTTTAAATAGTTGTTTTTTAAGCAGCTGAACATTCTACTACATTTTCAACTATTGTATAAAGAGTGCATAGCTTTTCCAAAATATTGACATAATATATGCAAATAATAGCTATGTATCTGTTTTTCTCTGGCAACAGCCATCACTCATAGGCTTCTTCATTGTAAGGGAGATTTGTTGCTTGTGGAAGGTGTCATATTACCAGTAGGATGCACTAAACACTTGTCCAGAATGGTGAGCAGCAACGCAAACTGGTCACAGAACTTGCCATGTCCTTATCAGGGTTTGTTTAGACTCAACCACGGTTTGTTTAGAGACTTGGTCTTTAATTTGACCACTGGCATCATAAGCACCTTTTATTGTCGGCCACCAAGCTGAGAAGAGGTCATGAGCTTCATTGTTCTGCAAATGTGAGCCTGGAGTGGTTTGCTATACCACTTCAGCTAGCTAGCTGCTCGAAGTCTCACTATCTGGTGTGAGAAAAAAGCCATTTCTCTTCGCTGAGGGTCATTCTTGGCAAATTTTGTAAGAATGCTGATGTAGCAATTGCCAATTTTCTAGCAATAGCAGAGCATAAGATTGAATAACAGGACAAAGTTAGTGAATGGTGAAACCTTACCTTTCTGTGAAACTCTGTTTAGTGCCCAAAACACCCTAAGTATATACACACTGCTAAGTAAGGCTGACAAGTCATAGAGATGAAGTGCAGATAAGCGAGGTTCTTATGAGAAATTTCTGCAAGACTCTCACAGTACTGATGTACAGATATCGTGCTAAAAACATAAATAGGTAAAAAAGCACAGCTTTGAGGAAGAAACAAAGATCCACACCAAGTAAATCATCAGTCAGTCTTTCTGTTATTACTAATTCTGCAACTGAAGCTGTAGACTCACAATTTACTTCCACTGCTGCCTAAAGGGAACTGCAAGTTGGTAGAACAGCAAATTCTAAATCTGCCAATACATAAATGATACTGCATTAGCCAACTTCCCACAGAGCTTATACGACAACCCTAATGTACAGTTCAACTAAAAGCTGTATGTTTCAAACGTGAGCAAGTAAAAGGCTTTCTTGTGCTTGGACAAGCTTTTGGGCCATATAGATCCCCTTAAACAATACATACATAACTAGAATTGTATACATGGTTTATGTACCTATGCATGTAAAACAGCATCCATATTCTGAACGTCAAGCTTTTTTTTTTTTAAAGCGAAAGTATGTTTTTGTTGTCAGAGCAGAAGCAAACTGCAAAAATGTCAACAAAAAATAGCAAACTTTGGTCTAAAATACATAGAATAGTTACTGAAAATTCAAATCTTGGCACATTTTGCAATAAGAATTCTACCTAAATTATTACAGAGCAGAGGCACTAAAATTGATGTGTGGGCCTTTAACATATAAAACGCATGTAGCAATTACAGTTCTCTTCAGTAACAGAATCTGCCTACATAAAAATGCACTCTTCTAACAAAACATATACAGACTTATTCCAGAATTACGTCTTTCTTTTTTAAGTAATATTGGTTTAGGTTAGAATGACTTATTCTCCAAATACACAACAGGACACTATAGCCCTCTGTATTACATACCACAAAGATATTAATGTGAAGGAAAGCAGTCCCCATAAAGGGCGACTTGAGACAAACGGAAGGGCAATAGAAGTCTGAAATAAAAATAAAAGGTCCATAAGAAGCCATTCATCAGCTAGCAGCATGCCAACAATCATCCAGCTGATGGTGATTTCTGAAGCTCACTTATGATATGGCATAGAATAAACAAGAAATAATTTAAAGGGGATTCTTGGGCCATGGGAAAAGCAACTGTAATAGCTCTCTTTTCATTTCTCCCACCAAAAATGACTTTGAGTTGTCTATCTGTCCTCCTCCCTTGCACAGCTGGAGGGGAGCTGTTTGCTCCTGACACTGTGATGCAGGATCTGGTTAGTTAAATAACCTTGCTTGATTAAACAACTTTGCTTGATTTAAGAATGCACAGCACAGCAGG